TTCTGCACTTCGGGTCGGCTGGACATGCTGAGCATGTTCGGCCGACCCGAAGCCACGCGAAGCAAGCCGATGTATGGCTGATTTCAGCCGTACCAGCCTGAAGTGAATAGCCGAACAGTGTTCGGCTCACTTCACTTCAGGTCGGTCATTCACTCGGCTGCCCTCGGCAGCTTAGTGAATAGACCCCTAAGTGTCACATTTAGTGACAGCGTTAGTGACAGCGACATACTTTGAACATCGCTGTCATGAGGGGGATAAATAAAGTTAACGCCTTAGGGCGAAAAAAAATCTGCAGCTCAGCTGCAGATTTTCATTGCAAGGGGTTATTTTTTATAATATTGATAGTATAAAAATATATGTGTATAATTTTTATTTTTACATTTATTTTTATTTTTCACACTTTGGACTATTACAGTTACATGAAAAATAAAGGATCTATTGGCAGGATCAAAAGGTTATAAAACTATGTTACAGGGGGACATACTGCTGTGTTAATGTTAGAGACAGTCTGCATCATCTATGTCATTTTTTAAAATTGTCCCTATAGTTACACTTTAATCTGCTTCCTATGTCTCTCAGTCACCTAGGCAGTATGATCGTTGCACCAGAATTAACAGGTACACTTACCAGTCATGTCTATTACAAGGACGTCTCTGTTGGAGTTTAGCTTATTTTACATAGCAAATAACTTAGTAGGAGGTATCCATGAGGATGGGGCTGGAAACAGAGAGATCTTGTATCTCCTCGGTGAATGACTTAACCTAAAAGCAGCTACTATAATTAAAATGACACTAAACTCAGAAGTTAAATCTTAAAAATGCATTTAAGTAGCTTAACTACGGTATTAACAGAAATGTAGCTTCTTTGTGTATCACTCAGCTGTAGATCCTCAAATCATCTCTGGATTGGTGCTGACACAGTCCTTCCTTCTGGAGGGTGGCTTTTGTGTTGTAAAGTAGCCACCGCTCCAAGCTTACTCCTTTGATGGACTACAATCTCAACACAAATTAGTAAACTAAATATGAGATTGTAGTCCATCACAGGAGTGAGCTTGGAGCGGTGACTACTTTACAACACACACAGGGACCATGGGGAACAAAAGTAGCCACCCTCCAGAAGGAAGGACAGTGTCGGCACCAATTCACAGATGATTTGAGGATCTACAACTGAGTGATACACAAATAAGATACATTTTGTTAATAGTTAAAGTACTTCAATGCATTTTTAAGATTTAACTAAGTTTAGTGTCATTTTCAGTATCAGTTGTTTGATTCTATCACTTCTCCCTATGCCACACTTTCAAAATCTTCTGGTTTATACCTCCTCATGTATCACTTGCCCTCCCTTTTAGATTATAAGCCCTCTGGGGCAGGGCCCTCCTTACTATCTTGTCTGGAATTGTATTCTGATTGTAATGTCTTCCTTATATTGTAAAGAGCTGCGCAAACTGTTGGCGCTATATAAATCCTGTATAATAGTAATAATAATAATTATTATTCTTATACCAAATTCAATATATGTTATCAGTATAACATAGAAGCTTTCACAGATTAGACCTCTTCTGTGCTTGAACAGTTCAGTTTTGTCCATAACATACTGTACCCTCTAGATTTTCTATAAAGCCCAGAATAAAAGTCCAGTACATCACATACGAATGTGAAGCACAGGGAATGCAAAAGATGGAAATGTTTTTTTCTTCAGTTGAATGTAAATGTAAACTGGACTTATGCAAAAAAAAAAAACATGTTGTAGCACATAGAGGATACCCCATTTTCAACAAACCCTTGTAAGCAAAAGCTAGACCTACAGCTGGCCACCCACTTACAATTTGAATGTACAGCTTGCTAAGATTAGGTTGAATGGGGCAGATATAAAAAAAAAATCATGCTATCACAATATAAGCAAAACTGATAATGTTGCAGCAATGGAGAGGATGGGTGCAAAGTCTACTTTTCCTAGGGGCAAATCTACAACTCCAGCCCTGAGTGTGCACTGAGCAATCTGCTCATAGTGTTCAATTAATTAATGTACACTGTGGGAAATTTGCTTATAGTGTTCAATGAACCCTAAATACACCAAATGTGAGCTTTGCCCCATACAGTGACTGCAACAATACACAGATAGGGATTGGCCCTTATATATTGCTTTTGTACCTGTGCCTTGTACCTTAAATCTGGCCAGCTCTTCAACTGAATGTTGCAACATCAGACCTAAGATTTTCCAACAGTACTGCAGGCAAAATATAGACCTGCTTTTACTAGGTGTAAGTGTAAAGGGCAAGTGGGTGGAGTTTAATACTGCTACAAAAGGTCTCCATGTTTTATATATCACTAAATGCCCTGCAGGGTTTCATGAAGCCTATAAGAAGCACCACATCCTTCTTCCTGCTGTGATCATATCGGATAGCAGAATTCACAATCATGTACACAAGCCCTTAGGATGCTCATGACATGAGTTGCTTCATCTGGCCGCTTTTTTTTTTCAGTGGGATTCGGAGACATACAGATGCATTGGTGTCGCCTTAGGTGGCTGGCCAGCCACCAAAAGGGGGAACTACTGATCAGTTAGAAAACCTGTCCCAAACCATGTTGTTCCACCCTTAAATAAGATGGCTCAAGCACCCATTCTTTGTTCTGCCCACTTCCTTTTCCTCCTCCTATAGAAGTCATTTGGCCGCACTGGGCTTACAGACATATAGAGAACTAGAGATCAACCACCCACTGATGTCAATTAAAGCTAATCAGAAAAACAGATCAATTTAACAATTTCCACAATAATTCATATCTGCCAAAATAAATATTACAAAACATCATTGACTGGGGTCAGTCGGGCAACATAGAATTAACAAGGGTGGTTCTGGATGATGATACCTTGTGCTTAGAACAACATTTTTGATACCAAATCATCAAAACCTAATCCAAGTTGCAGCCACTGGATTTACAGTGTTTCCGTCGTATACGAGTTGCATAGTCCTCCACATTTATCCAATGGCAGAGCCTATTCTGTTCTGTAACAGCAGCATTAAACCTGCCTGCAGGTCGCTTCATTGTAACCTGTGCAAATAAAACATAACACAGATGTTTAGTGTTAACTCCAAAGAGTTCAAACCCAGCACCAAGGCTGTTTCTAGCCACTCTGCCTCCTGTAACCACCACCACCACTACACAGCAAATTGTTTTCATGTAATGTACTAGAGAAACTAGCTATGGACTACAGTCTTAATTCTTTCATGCCTAACAATAAACGTCTCTGTGACATCTAACAGCTTCTTATGTAAAACCATTGCAACATTGCAATATACTGCCTATGATCCAGACAGGACCTGAAGCTATCCGCCATTGTTCACATGTATCGGCACATCCAATGGTTACCTGCGGCTAGGGACAGATGAATGGCCGTGGACACAATCTGTCCACATCCAGGGCCAATGGTCTGTCCCTAGCTGCAGATAACCGCTGGATGTGTGCGACCAACTGCCGACATCCCTGGCCATCTTTGGTTACTGTCAGCCTGTCATTGCTTTGTACAGTCTCCCCGGCCGCAGCTGTCTAATGTAAAATATGTTTTGAGATGTAAAATACAATATGAGCTGTCAAAATAATACACATCATAGCTAATATATTAAAAATAACTTTTAGGGGACATTTAATTGCTAAGGTATTTCTAAATGTCTAGCATACAATATGGTTTCAGATGATTTTAAAAGCTGTTTCTGGAAGGGAAAGTGTAGTGCATTTCTAGGAGGTACATATTTTGAGCTACATGTGCATGCGGTGTGCTGCAATACATTGTTAAATATTATATTCCTTCTTTTTTAACTGTTATGTTTATCTATGCACTGCATAGCACAATAGCGCTATGAATGCGCTGCACAAAATTAGAATAGAATATTCCCAGCGCACACCAATGCAACATGTTGTTTTGAAGCGAAGCCATGGGATATAAGGCAAACTGTGTTAGGCAAAGCTGCTCAATGGGGTTGATGTGAACAAGCTGTCATAGTCATTTTTACTCTTATGTTTGATATTGTACTCTGATCTGTGAATTAACCACTAGAGGGAGCCCTGTACATAAGTCCTGAATTTGGTATCTAGCTTCTCTGTGCTGAGAGAGATACAGGGTTGCCATTGCTGACCCTTCTAAGAATATTAGCAATATTGCCTGGATGTCTCTGGTTGTAACACTTTCTGACTCACTGACCAGGAACAAGTCAATCAGGAAAGAGTGAAGTCAAGACAGAAGAGCTGTATACTTATTCCAGGTCTGCACTTTATAAAGTATTAAAGTAGTATTAGTGCCCATTCCCACTGGGCGTTTAATAGCGCGATTTCCACCGTCCAATGACATTCAATGGAGCTGTTCTATGGAACAGCTCCATGTCGCTCGTCGCTGTCCCTTGTGCGTGACCCTTTTTCCCACGGATGTCGTGCGATGTTTCTATTTTTGCATGCAGCCCGATGCTGAAGATCGCGCGATCGTCGCTGGAACGTCGCCCGAAACATTCGCGGATCCTGGCCGCGCGGATCAAGGTGAGTATCGCTTAGTGTGAATGGGGCCTAAAGATCTGGGCGTTTTTTACCTTAATGCGTTCTCCGCATTAGGGTTAAAACGGTCCAGCACCTTTTTCTACCCCAGTCCCCCACACACTTACCGGTCAGCTGTGCTCGTTCCCGCTGCCGATCCGAAGCGATCCTCCATTCCACGAAGTTCCGGGTTGTGGGTGGAGTCTGCCATAGGCTCCTCTGCCATCAATCAAAGAGGGAAGGGGCGTGGCCTGCCACAGGGCTTTGTGTGTCTATGGACGCACTCAGTCTCTGCGGAAACGAACGGGCACGAGCATGCACGGGTGCCTCTACTAGAATGATGGTGGCACCCGTCCAGAGGGTGGGGGGAAAAGTGCTGCGGGGAGGCACTAGAATAAGAAACTTTTAAAGAAAAAGGAGGGTCTCCTTAAAGGAGAAATTTAAAAAAAAGCTTTAATATCACTTTAAAGTAACTGGATCAGTATTGTAGCCAGGCTCTAAAAGGTATTTTTTAATCTGTAACAGTTTAGGGGTTTATTTATAACCAATTTGCAGAGCCTTTTGCCCCAACTAACCTTTTGATCTGTGCAAATAGACACAAAAGCAAACGTTTTTAGATATATTTTCTTTTCAGGATGAATGTATGTAATGCATTTTGACCGTTAGATGGAGCTGAGGAGCATAGGAAATAAGTATACTGTAGACTAGAGGGTGTTGTGAGTTTTCATTTTTTTAATGAAAAGGTGAAATTACCCTTTAAACTGCGGACAAGTCTCTTCTTCAGACACCAGTTTTAAAGTGCACCTGTCCCAAGAGAAAAGTGAAGGCAGCTCCTGATTACTTCTCCTAAAAAAGCTAACTGCCTTGCTGTTATGCTGACTCTCTTGTTTTTAATATGTTCAGCCACTGATCCAAAAGAAATATGTAGATCAGGAGTTCCGACTTTACTCTGACTTTGCTGATCTACAAGCTTGCTTCAAGTCAGTTGAGTTAGTCAGTACTAACACAAAAGGGCTTTCATGAAAGCCAGGCAACCAGTATTTTCAGAAGTAGATCAGAAACAGCAGGCCCCATATTGCTGTTGTGACAGGTTCACTGTAGACCTGCCAGTCATCCAGAAAATGTGTGCATAACAGAATGGAAGGGCAGCACCACTACATTTGCAAGTTTTTTGCATGCAGCTCAAAACTTTTTAGTCAGTAATCCAGGGGTTCTTAAACTGAGACAAGGAAGGGGAATAAAAAAAAGATGAAAGTCGTAAGTTTTCCTTGTTCATGTTCTCTGGGCTTCCTTTCTGTGTACAACCGGATACTGCCCTGTCAATTTTTTAAAAATTGAATTTTTAAGATGCATTTGTTTACCTCTAGGCAAATTGGGTTTCTTCTATTTTCCCAGTGGAATCATTATTCAGGTTTTCAATTTCCTGTGCTTTCAGTTTTCTTCTATGTGCTTTTCTGCAGCGACTGTTAAAGAACAAATGCATGGCATTATAAAACACATCTGAGCAATGTACTTTGTATGTGTGAACAGTACACAATGGGTCTGACCTTAGAGAAGCCTTGATAACCTACCCAGAGCTACTTTAATCTCTTCCCTGCTACTTCTTGGCTTTGTCATTGCCTTTTGCTTGTCCTTATTTATTACAATTTACCCAGCTGCATGGATTTTAGTGTTCATACACAAGTCTGAAATTTATGTCATTACAAAAAGCAAAACCTTTTTGTTAGGGATGTTCAGATACCAAGTATTGTACTTGGTACTGTATACAATTAATTTCAGTACAGCGTTGCATGAAGGAATAAACGTCAGTCAAAGTACCGCAGCGCTGAATACTGAAAAATGGCCTGGTCAGGAAGGGGGTATAAACACCTGGTCTTGAAGTGGTTAAAGGCCTCATGTTTTTTTTCTGAAAACAGTAGAATGATGGGCTTTATCAAAAAGCTGGCATTTTGTTTTGTCAAAAAGCTGTTAATTTTGTGCCATACCAATACAAACAAAAGAAATAAGCATGAGAATTGCTAAACATTTGTAATTGCAACAATTATCTGTGCGAAGTGCTGCATTATCTGACAGAAATGCAGGGGTGCCAATATTTTTAGCCATGACAGTATGTCACAAATGAAGATCAGATGCAATTTCATTAATCAAAAATGCAGAGTTTTGAACAAAGTGCTAGGGGTTCACAAACTTTTTCTCACGACTGTAGTATAGTTATTACAAAATGAAAGTTCTATATTTAACCGTTAGTTATTATTTGACTAAAAATTAAACCAGAGAATAAGCAGCACAGACAGAAAATACAACTTAATATTAAATAGCTTACTGTGAACATATGCATATGCTAATAATGGCAATTATGAGGGACACCATGGCGATGATCAGACTAATTACAACCAGCTGACCTCGATCTTCTTTTAAATAAAATAAGTCAAGATATTCACACCTTTTCCCGGTGTACCCTTTTTCGCACCTGGAAGAAAATGTTAGAATTAGATCACGAAAATATATTTGCATGACTTATATAACATATTAAAGCTGGGAAATTCCACGATCATACGATAATCGACAGGTGTATGGAAGGCGTGCGACCGTTTCTACTGTATGGTCGCACGTCTTTCTTCTTACGAGCATGTTGGAAAACCAGCTGAAAATCGTAAGATTTTCAGCAGGTTTGTGGCATGCTCATAAGACAAATGCCGCACGGGCCAGTGTGCGCAAGCGCACACTGCCCGCTTAGCATTGCAGTCATCGGAAGCCCTCCCCTCAGTGGGGCGGGCTTGCGATGATCACAAGTACGATCTGCCTGTCCAAGATGGGCAGATCGTACGAGCTTTTAATTGTAAAGTTTATGGCCAGCTTTCCTGTGCAGATTGAAATTAAAACAGGATCACCACTACTTTTGCAGCTGTGACTATTGAACCCTTTGATTGCCATTACATATGTTATTAACCATTCAGAGGAAGGTACAGCCAAGACATGCGTATATGCCTTTTATAGTCAAGGGGTTTATTAAATGCTACCCCAGTCAGAATTACTTCTTAGATGAGTGACCTGCTGCATTTTGTGCACTGCCTTGAGAAGGATATCACAAATACCATTGCATAAGTCAGGGCTCAAAATTTCCACTTGCCTGCTCGCATTTAGTGAGTAAAAATAAGGTGAGGGCGAAATTTGGGTCTCCAAGTGCCAGTCCGTGGCCCAACTACGGCCCGCGAGCCAGTACTATGTGGCCCACAGCCAGCTGACATGTCAGGCACACGGTCGCAGACCGTGTCCCTGACTTGCGGGAGTAGCTTCACGGTCTGCATCTGTGTCGGATGCAGACCGCAGAGCAGCTCCTGTCAGCTCTGGCTTCCTTCGGCCGGAGCTCTGACAGTTCTGAGCTCCGGCCAAAAGAAAGAATGTATGTGAGCAGGATCGATGCCAGGTTATCAGGGGGTGATAGTGAGGTCTGTTGTGTGTGGGGGGGGTTAATAAGGGGGCAGTATATTATTTTATGTGTGTGGGGGGGCTTATAACGGGGGGAGTGTATTATTCTTTGTGTGCGGGGGGGGGAATTTTACTCTTATATTTGTGCAGGGGGGGAGGTGTAACGTTGTTGAGAAGTGAATTATTGTGCTTTAAGCTGCCCATACACCTTACAACCATCGCACGACTTTCGTTATGCGATGGTTGTAAGGTCATTAAAATCTCGTACGATCTGCCCATCTTGGACAGGCAGATCGTACTTGCGATCATCGCATCCCCTGAGGGGATGGCTTCTGATGATTGCAGTGCTGAGCGGGCAGTGTGCGCTTGCACCGACCCGTGCGGCATTCGTCTTCCGACCAAGCCACTAACCTGCCAAAAATCGTACGATTTTCGGCAGGTTTTTCAGCATGCTTGGAAGAAGAAAGTCGTATGACCTTACAGTAGAAGTGGTCGATTATCGTACGATCGCGGGATCACCCGCGATTATCGTACGATAATCAGCAAGTGTATGGACACCTTTAGTGTATGTGTATAGTAGGCCCCATTCACACCTACAGTATATTTCAGGTGTAATTAGAGATTCCAGTGTCAGGAACTTGCGTTTTCCTGCAGCAGCAATCCCTAATCTGCCGTTTACAAGCGGCAACTATCATAAGATAAGAATTATCATAAGATTATTTAAGAGGGGTGTTTAGGGGAGGAGTTAAGGCAGGGTAAAGGTTAGGTGGGGCAACTGGTGGCTAGTGACTCTTAAGGCCTGGCTAGTAGCTCAGGACTTGAAATTTTGAGCCCTGGCATAAGTTATGATAAAAACGTATTTTATTTTATTCAATTAAAAAATTGTTTACAAAAAAATAAAAACACATTTGAGTAAACCCCCTTCTAGTATGCCTTACACCCAACACAGCCACATTATAAACGTATACAAGTATGAAAACCATTTGCATTATTTTCCATTTATCCTCTTAATTGTTCTTTTTGCACAGTCACAACGGTAATCTACAGTGGCTTGCGTTTATTGGCAGTTGTGACAACGTGTTTCACTGGTATGCTTCCTCTGGAGACCGAAGGTGGCCAAAAGGGTATTAAGGTCAACATAGAGGAAAAACACCATCTCACAAGCCTTCCCTCAACCTGGTCTGCAGTGGGGACACAGGAATCAAGGAGGACGAAAGACTCGGTCTGATTGTATTTGTCTTTTTTTCTGTTGAATGGAATCACCTTCAAGCCTTGCTACCATCAAGAAGAAAATTGTGTGCGCAAGCCTCTCAGACACATTTGTCTGAGTTTGAGTGTCTCTATTTGACAGAACACATTCATAATCTAAAAGACTATGCTTTTCTCTAAATTATTCAGACTTTACTTTTCTAGAGTGCATAGTTCTAGCATCATTTATTGAATACCACCTCATACTGAAATCCCCATTGCCCAATTGTACCCAAACCTGCACACTTTATATGGTATCTGCTTTGATGGAAACAACCAAATCTAATGCAACTATCCTGCTGATTGGTCCATGTTGAAAAGGGTGGAGCTTCTAAGCAGGGGCAGGGTTTAGGAGAGGGTACTGTACCTGAAGTACTGTCTGAGGCAGCATAAAGCAGCCGAGTACTCCAGAGAAGCACACACTTAGAATGAACATGTCTCCACCTACCTACAAGATGGTTCCTTCAAGGCTGCAACAAAGCGACATTTTCCTTTTACACAGTAATGTTTGTATGACTTTGGACATCGGGAGAAATAACCCCTCCATCTTGCTGGCGCTGAAATCTCTGCAAAGATTATTGTAAAACATTTACATTTGATTATGTAAATTAAATTCAAATATTATGCTATCACTTTGTAAGGGATGTTAGCTTAAAGCAGAACTAGGGGCAAAGAAAATCTTAACTTTTGCAGTGGGAATACCCCAACACTGCAAGGGTTAAGTGCTTGTTTTGTCTAGGGAGCTAAAATAACAAAGTTATACTAACTCGAATCGCAATCTCTGCTGGCTCCTAGACCAGTCCCTTCAGTCTTGCTCCCCCTCCACTTCAGCTGTCTAAGGTCCTGTGAGTCATCACATTCTATACAGTGTATAGAACATGAAAATGCAGAGGAATATATATTTGCTGAAGCAGAGGAGCAGACAGACTGGAGGGAGCAGTCAAGGATCCAGATTCGAGGTTTGGGTGAGTATAACTTTATTTTAGTTCCCTAGAAAAAACAAACACTTAACAAGCAAAACACAGTATGGGGGTAGCCCCATTGCAAGATTTAAGACTGGAGTTCTGCTTTAATAGTGTAATGCTGTTGTGGCAGTGCAATGTATGCCCACCATTAATTCAGAAATAATGGCAATGCACCTAGCATTGCAATGTGCGATAGCCTGTGCTAAACACGGAAATACTGTGCCATTGGCATAATGTTTTAGTGGGAACTGGCCCTAACTAGAGCTGAATTAGTATAGAAAACAACATTTACCTCGATTTCTGTAGTTGAACCTGTAAAAACTGTGCGACTGTATATAGCTTAATTGACACTCCTGTCTATGCATATCAAGAACACATGAAGACCATATACAGCATAACAACAATTTCAACTAATATAATTAATGGGTAGCTCATATAACGAGATCCAAGAGCTTTATTGTTTTCGTCTAGTGAAGTACAATGCAAGTAGGAGGAAATTTAATAAAACGTCTCACGCACTGTGTTCCCTGGTAAAAATAGGTTATATAAACATAAGCCTTATTACTAGCTGGCATCTTTTCCGTTTGGACTGGCAGAACAAACATTTCTGAAATGAGGTTTTGCATACACTCACAGAGTCTGATGTATTAAGGTTGAAAGCTTCCCTGACAGCCTGTCAATCTTCAGAAAATGTAGCAGGAATGAAGTAGTGTGATTTACTAAAAGAGAGCACACTGGGTGTGCATATGGAATGCACACCCATACCGGACTCAGAACGAGGCAGACATGTATTCACTAAAGCCGACCAGACACCCTTAAGATCTTTATATCTTATTGCTCTTTACCTTATAATTATATTACCTTTCCATTGTTTAATGAACTTAATTATAGCTTAAATGAGAACTATGAGGCGTGTTAAAATCACTCAGCCATATAGTTCCAGCCAACCTGTGACAAAATCATAGTTACATAGTTAGTCAGGTTGAAAAAAGTCCATCGAGTGCAACCTATAGTTCTCCTTTAACTTCAGGCTTCCCTTTAGAGTTGCACAGCTGTACAGGCTCCTCCGCTGCACTGAAATTGCTTAGTCTGATTTCTCTGCACAGTGTGAGCTGCTCACACTGTGTATTAGAAACTGCAGCAACAGGGGCGTAACTAATAATCACAGGGCCCCAAAGCAAAATTTTGCATGGGGCCCTGTGATTTCTAGTTACGCCCCTTGCAGAGCCCACCTGATATCCCACACAGCCCATCTAAGGGTGACCCTGCAGAGCCCACCATAGAATCTCTATGGTGGGCTCTGCAGGGTCTCTGGTGGGCTGGTCACACCCCTGCACACCTCTTACCTGTCCCCTCTTCCGTCACTGGGCCCCGCCTCCTCCTCCACTGCTGGCGCCAGGCTTAGCCTCCTCCTCCGCAGCTGCTGGCTGTCACTGACTCAGCAGCGGCTGTGAGGAGGAACATGCCGCTGCACAGATCACTGACAGGTTGTCAGTGATCTAACAGCGACATGTTCCTCATCACAGCCGCCAATGACAGCCAGCAGCCTTAGATGCCATAGCGAACCGGGCGGCCCCCACAGCATCAGGGGGATGTCCTGGCCGGGCACCCCTGTGCCCCGGGCCCCAAAGCGGCTGCCTATATGTTACGCCACTGTGCAGCAAGTCTGTGTTTGTTGTAAAGTAGCCACCGCTCCGAGCTCACTCTCGTGACGGACTGCATTCTCATGGTTAGTTTACTAATTTGTTTCTTTTTTTTTTTTTTCATTGTTTATCCGATTAACCGATTAATTGAACTTAATAATCGGCTAACTAATCGATTTTGAAAATAATCGTTAGCTGCAGCTCTAGATTGTAGTCTATCATGGGAGCGAGCTTGGAGTGGTGGCTACTTTACAACACACATACAGAGACCATGGGGAAGAAAAGTAGCCACCCTCCAGAAGGAAGGACAGTGTCAGGATGAAGTCAGAGATGATTTGAGGATCTACAGCTGTGTGATATACAAATAAGATACATTTTTGTTAATAGTTCGGATACTTGAATTTATTTTTAAGATTTAACTCCTGAGTTTAGTGTCACTTTAAAAGCAATTTAAACTATTAAAGTACAAAAACAAATGATTTGTTGAGATTATCCAATGTAAACCCTTTGGATATGCTGCCCTAAAAAGTATAAACTGTCTCTACACTGGTCTTCCTTGGCAGATTCCGGTTTTATTGAGGTCTCAGATCCTTGCATCATAAGACTTCCTTTTGGTGTCATGTCAAGTAATGAGTCATAGGGAAATCCCTTTTATAATAATGTGTGATGTATTCCAACAAATGTTTGTTTTTCATGAAATTGTTAGCAGAGTGTAAGGTTTAATGTTTCCAGTGAACTAACTTGTTATGTAAAGTTTGCAGGATATATTCAATCTGGAGGCATTTTCCATAAAAACAACAAGTACACACCTTTTATAAAAAACAATAAATGAACACATTCATAAAAGATAAAAATTTTAATAGGAGCCAGTAAGGCTAGGTTCACATCTAGGCGATTTATCGCGGGGATTTAGCGCAAAACACAGATTCCCGCTGAAGTCAATGGGACCTGCTCACACCCTTGCAGTGCGTTGCACAGCCAAAATCGCCTGTCGCACAAAAAGATGCAGGAGCTGTTTTCGGGCAGTTGTCACGCGGTTGTGGTCCCATAGACATCTCTATGCATTGAAAATCGTGTGGCACAAAAAAAAAACAAATGCACTGCAACAACTACACGAAAACAGCTGATCGCCTAGGTTTGAACATAGCCTAAAGCATTGCAATCACACTCTGGCTCCTGTAGTGCCGGTCAGTTGCAGGGAGAGAAGGAAATATGAATAGACTACAAGTTCGGTGCCGTCAATGCACTTGTATTCCATTAAGAATGCACTTGTATTCCATTAAAAACTACAAGTCCTTCTGCCGCAGTGGCTGATGGGACTTGTAGTTTCTCCATTCACAGATCCTGTCAAAGGATTTGTGAACGGATGACATGGCTGTGCGGCCGCGCATACAGCTGCGCCAAATTCAAAAACTGACAGGAGCCTGTGGGGAGAAGAACCCTGACATTTAGGTTGGTAGGTTGGGCATGGAGTTGTGACTGTGTTTCACGTTATACCCTGAATATCGGTGTAACATGAAACGTGGCATTAAATGTAAACTTAACGTTTAAAAAAATACAACCATTGCAGTTAAAGAAAAAGTGTTCAAGAACCCCAGCCTCTAACAGCCAAAGGAAGAATTTGAATGTTTGGAGTTCTGTGAAAAATACAACAGTTGCAGGGTTAGGCTATCTTCACACCATCTCCAGTGCGTTCCAGCATGGTTAGCTGCTGGAACGCACTGGATCGCATACTGTCCGGCTCTCTGCGTTCTGGCGGGAGGGTGCATGGCTGTCCATTCAAGTCAATGGCACCGGAGCCACGCGCCCCCCGCCAATGTGTGATTACCCACATAAGTGTAAATGGTAGAAGGTCACTCGCACACCAAAAACTTTTGCAGTCAATCTTCTTTATTGACCATCAAAGTGTCGCATTGCTTAGAGGGCAATTCAAGACCTTGTGGTTCCTTTTTTTTTTTTTGCGTGCGAGTGACCTTCTACCATTTACATTTGTGTTACGCAGAGGCATCTGCGGTTTCTCTAGCACCCACCCCCCGTTCCTTGGGGTTTTCCGGTCAGGAGTGGGACGGGATCCATTATGTTCTAAATTACCCGCATAAGAACAACTGGCACAGCAATGCCCACATTTCAGTCCAGTGCGATTGCAAAAAATAGTGCTTCTACTATTTTTCACAATCACACTGTACCGCAACGCAGGCATTGATGTGGCACACGTTCTGGTGCGGTTGATCACACTGCAGGCAGGTGGCGTCTACTCCCACCCCAGAACGCAGGGAGCCGGACAGTATGCAATCCCGTATGTTCCAGCAGCTAACCGTGCCGGAACGCACTGGAGATGGTGTGAACATAGACACACAGGGAAATGGGTGACTGATTTTATGTACTGGGACAGGATATCTATAAATTGCTCTAGAGATGTCCTGTGGTCTAAGTGGAAAATCAGAGAGGAGTTCCTATCAGGAGTCTACAGGCAGAGTCAGAGGAGATAAAGTGAGCTGTGATACCGCATTGCATTTGCTTTCTACCACATATCAGAAAAAGCCATTTTAATTTTTCATCGTTGTTGTTACTGCAAATATCCTATTGGATCATTCCAACATATTCAAAGCCATACTGTAAGTTTAGCCATGTGCTGAATTTTATGAACATAATTATCTTCCTTCCAATAACATACCTGAGCAGTTCTCTATGTACATAGGACATGGAAAACTTCTTGTTTCAGGTTGTGCAGTTGAATTTCCATCTGAACTCACCCATGGGAAAATGGTAAAACCTTTGAAAAAAGAAGAGAAACATGTGTTGTTTTGACAGTAATTGCTTGCTTTAAAAGTGAATGTATCAGTTCCAGTGAATGGGAAAGTCTCTGGAGAAATCCTGGAGGCGAGCATGGGAGGAGTTGATGAGGGAGCTAGAGAGCAGGAGGTCTTGGGAAGAGCGGAGGGGACGGTTAGGGTTATACATTGAGACGAGGTTGGAAATAAAGCCAGGGGCAGAGTTGTGGATGGCTTTGTAAGTGGTTGTTAATATTTTATTCTTTGGGCTATTGGAAGCCAGTGTAGTGATTGACAGAGGGGGGTTGCAGACACTGAGCGGTTGGTTAGGTGAATGAGTCTGGCAGCAGCATTCATGATAGACAGAAGGGGGGATAGCCTGTGTAGTGGTAGGCCAATGAGGAGGGAGTTGCAATAGTCAAGCCGAGAGATAACAAGTGAGTGGATGAGTAATTTTGCGGTTTCATTGGTGAGGAAGGGGCGTATTTTGGAGATGTTACAAAGGTGAAAGTGGCAGGATTTGGATAGGGATTGGATGTGGGGAAGAAAGGTGAGGTCTGAGTCAAGGATGACACCTACCACCTTGTCATGGGTTGAGGGCTGGATGGTTGTGTTATCAATCTCAACTGTAAAGTTGGGGGAAGGTGAATCCCCTGCTTTGTCTTGTATTGCTGCTGTCAGAGCCTGATTGGCTGCTAGCTCTGTTTGGCCACGAATTTTCCAACCTGCTCCTTCAATTAGCTGATTGAGGGATGCCGGGCAGAAGGGTGCCTACAGCAACACCCACACTGAATTTCGTCCGGTTCATCAAGAACCGCCAGAAATGTGCTGTATAGCTTACTTATCTATGACTCTTCTGTTCTGTGAGACTTTTGAAATGTTGCTAAGACAGAAAGTAGTTTATTCTTTCCCTTGTGACTGTATTTCCTTACAACTCACATAAATTACATCTCCCTAGAGGAATCAGAAAAAAAGGAAGTCATTAGGAAAAGGTTGTTTAAAACGCAAGAGAAAAATACTTTTTAATTTTTTCTAGAAATCCAGTGCGCTTCTAACTTCAGTGCGCTGTTAATGGCTAGTCCACGCCAGTCTCAGTGCGTTACGGCCAGCACTGGATCGCATTCCAGCCTATTCACTTTGTTTTGCGGTGGGAGGGGGCTTGGTGGTGCATTGAACTCAATGGCACCACAGCCACGCCCCTCTGGCCGCAATGCGATCGCTTTGTGCCTGTGTTCTGGTGTGCGATCACAGGCACACCAGAACACAGGCACAGGCACACCAGAACACAGGCACTGATGCGGCACAAATGTGATCGCTTTGTACCGCATCAGTGCCTGTGTTCTGGTGTGGTGAAGTCAGAAAAAATAGTGCATCCACTCTTAGACGTAATGTGCATTTTACCCTTGCAGTGCAGGGGGGCCCAACTGCAAAAGTATTTTTTTGGCCTGAAGTTCAGCTTTAAAGTAAATCGAAAGCCAATTTTTTTTAGTTTTGTATAGAATCTGCATTGTTTAACACCTCAAAGGTTTTATATGCCACGTGTTCAACAATCTGCCTTTCACCCATGCCTCTTCCACCTTTGAAGTGGATGCACAGGTCAGATAATAGACAGCATGCCAGAAGTCAAACTTCCATCTTTACTGAAATTCTAAATTCCAACTGAAAGAAACCATTCTACCAAATTGGTCTACATGGAATTTCAGTGACGTTTTAGGCATGACTTCCGGTGGCTGGCCATTTTCTAGACTTGTGGGGGGGTTTTTTCCTTGTGTCTATCACATTGGGCACTTTCTATTCATTTTCTGTCCCAAAAGCCCAACAGGAAATGTGACAAAATCACTCCAGGGTGAGGGGAAAGCACCATAAACAGGTTTCCCCATTGAAAGATTTGACCTTACTTCCTGTCAAATGACAACTGTAACATCTTGGATTTCCTGTCACTTACTTATATTAGACAATTGTCGCCAGTCCAAATACAGAGGGTTAATTTCCCGAGCTAGACAAAAACCTGCTATTTATAGCTATGACTAAAGATGCCCATACACTGTAAGATTATCGTACGAGAATCGCGGGAAATCCCGCGATCGTACGATAATCGCAAAGTGTATGGAAGGCGTGCGACCGTTTCTACTGTACAAACAAATGTATTTAGATAAAACCAATAATAGATGAGAATCATACTCACAAAGGTCGACATGAATGGAGCATTGTATGTGAATACATGGACCAAAAAGTAAGCCAGTGACAGCTGCACAGCCGTGCCTGTGTGCCAGCAAGGAAGGCTGTGATAACACGTTTCCGGGGTCACGCCCCTTATCAGATCTGATGAAGGGGGCGTGACCCCAGAAACACGTTTTCTGGGGTCACGCCCCCTTATTCCCCTTATCAGATAAAGTTTGGGGCAGCGTCCTGCAGAATTTCCATTACATCTCTCATTTTTAAAACAGACTTTGAGACTTTGAACTTATTTGCACACTTTTTTTGGTGGAGCAGTCCCATTTGGCGCTTCTTGTTCATATTTGTACGTCTTCCGTCGAACAAGCAGGCTGGAAAACCCGCCGGGAATCGTACGATTCTCGGCGAGTTAGTGGCCTGCTTGTCCGACAACTGCCAAATGGGCCGGTGTGGGCACGCGCACACTGCCCGTTTGCAGTCATCGGAAGCCCGCCCCTCATTGCAATGATCGCAAGTACGGTTTGCCTGTCCAAGATGGGCAGATCGTACGTTTTTTAATTGTGCCTGTGTTCTGGTGTGCGATCACAGGCACACCAGAACACAGGCACAGGCACACCAGAACACAGGCACTGATGCGGCACAAATGTGATCGCTTTGTACCGCATCAGTGCCTGTGTTCTGGTGTGGTGAAGTCAGAAAAAATAGTGCATCCACTCTTAGACGTAATGTGCATTTTACCCTTGCAGTGCAGGGGGGCCCAACTGCAAAAGTATTTTTTTGGCCTGAAGTTCAGCTTTAAAGTAAATCGAAAGCCAATTTTTTTTAGTTTTGTATAGAATCTGCATTGTTTAACACCTCAAAGGTTTTATATGCCACGTGTTCAACAATCTGCCTTTCACCCATGCCTCTTCCACCTTTGAAGTGGATGCACAGGTCAGATAATAGACAGCATGCCAGAAGTCAAACTTCCATCTTTACTGAAATTCTAAATTCCAACTGAAAGAAACCATTCTACCAAATTGGTCTACATGGAATTTCAGTGACGTTTTAGGCATGACTTCCGGTGGCTGGCCATTTTCTAGACTTGTGGGGGGGTTTTTTCCTTGTGTCTATCACATTGGGCACTTTCTATTCATTTTCTGTCCCAAAAGCCCAACAGGAAATGTGACAAAATCACTCCAGGGTGAGGGGAAAGCACCATAAACAGGTTTCCCCATTGAAAGATTTGACCTTACTTCCTGTCAAATGACAACTGTAACATCTTGGATTTCCTGTCACTTACTTATATTAGACAATTGTCGCCAGTCCAAATACAGAGGGTTAATTTCCCGAGCTAGACAAAAACCTGCTATTTATAGCTATGACTAAAGATGCCCATACACTGTAAGATTATCGTACGAGAATCGCGGGAAATCCCGCGATCGTACGATAATCGCAAAGTGTATGGAAGGCGTGCGACCGTTTCTACTGTACAAACAAATGTATTTAGATAAAACCAATAATAGATGAGAATCATACTCACAAAGGTCGACATGAATGGAGCATTGTATGTGAATACATGGACCAAAAAGTAAGCCAGTGACAGCTGCACAGCCGTGCCTGTGTGCCAGCAAGGAAGGCTGTGATAACACGTTTCCGGGGTCACGCCCCTTATCAGATCTGATGAAGGGGGCGTGACCCCAGAAACACGTTTTCTGGGGT